GCAAGACAGCGTTGGAAAATAAATAAATCTTATCTCACCGTATCGTTCTTCACCATCAACTCGCAGAACAAGAACGCTTCGTCTTCGCCAGATTTCTGTGTCCGAAAATCTCTGTTCTCCGCTACAGATCTGCCACAATTCCCGAACAGTAGTATGCATAAATTTCTTACTCTTTCCGTCGTAAAATGAATATGAAGAGGGCAAAAAAGAAAATTCTCACCTCGAAGGCAACCAGTAGAGATACCCTCTTCCCGAGTCAGTCCACATCAATATCTTCTCAGTAGTCAAGAATTCTCCACTCAAGAATCGCTCTCCAACCGGGTTCGTCGTTGACACCAATAAAGAAAAGTCACTCGTGTCGTAAATCTTCAAGCAAAAATAAAATAGGTATGTCATCAACGATCGTTCTCCCAGGGAAATTTTTTCGAAATCTTCCGGGAGACCTCACCTGCCAGAATTTGGAGCACACCATGAGCAGCACTCTTGGATTATACTGACAACAAACGAGTTTGAGTGCATTGTAGCACCGTAGTTGTCGACTTTCCGTCTCGAAATAAGGCTCAGAGTTTGCGGTTTCAGACCCAGTGAGTGTCCAAGTTTTAATAGCTCCCGTCGTCGTCACTCCGACAACCACGTCCTCTGAAAAATTAAAAAAATTCATTAATCCAGCAATAATTGAAATTTAACGCCGAAATTGTCCCTCCACTAAAAAAAAAAATGAAAAAAATACGACGTGATGTAATTTTATATTCCTGACGCTAAAAAAAAAAAAATTCCCACTTCAACTCATTAGTTGCTTCCTGAATTTATAATTTTTTCAATCACCTAGAATCCTAGATCACGTAGAAACCTGAATGATCGTAATTGACCTCATCTAAACATGAACTGGAGTAGTCTCACAAACCTTGACCTAATTTAGACCTACAGTATTAAAAGCAAGTCTTTAAACTCGCTGTGGATCATGTGTCTTGTAGATAAAGCCTCTGTTCTTAACTTTTTCGCCTAGCTAAGGTTTCGAACTCCGTGTTTCTTTGTAAACGAAGAAAGGCTTAATTTTTTTTTGTATAGAACCCCTTTTCAAGAATCTCCTACAGAAATTTACTTTCTGTTCAAATGGTGCAATCCGAGAGCTTCAGTGTGCGAATTAAATTACTCGACGGTTCGTATCTCGGTTGCGAAATGTGATAATTTGTAGATTTGTACAGTAAACCAAAACTGACCATTTTTCCCAGCCCATTTGACGACCGTCAATGCACTAATCCAATCAGCTGATATCCGTGCTGTCAACGTAAATAGAACCTGTAATGTCGTCGGATTGATGACTTGAACACCAGGATAGTAACCATTCGCCAACAACCAATAATCATTTGTTTCAGCTACGTAATAACCCTGCAAAAAAAAATCGCTGTCAATAATAATCAAAACGTTCGACAAACAATTCGAGAATTGGGCTTTCGCCCGCATTTTTACTGAAGTTTGTTCGAATAACTCACAGTGAAGTTTATATGGACATTCGGCGATTTTGTGTGTTCCACACATCGTCCCCCTTGCAGATCCCATAGACACATTTCCCTGTTAAGAGAGGGTAGATAAGAAGGCAGAGACTTTCATTTCACGACAATCCAACTCAATTGCGTAGCTAAAAATTCAATTTACCCATTTTCGGCAGCACTTATAAGTGCACTCATGTCTTTGCCATGACTAGCCGACGCGAAGCACAGCACAGGAGCATTGTGTCCCATCAACATCAACCGCGGAGTTATCTGAAATTGTCAAGTTTAAATCATTAGACGTAGATTTTGCCAAGAAAACGTTCACATACAACGAAATGATCAAAATTTTAAAGGGATTCGCATAAAACGAATTTCTCTTCGTATATGATCCATGACGTATATTGGTCAGACTAATGGTGCGCAATCTTTGTTACCTTGTTACGTGCATATGAGGTCAGAAGTAGTAGTCTATGCCAGTGTTCCTCAACCTTTCTGGACCTAAGGACGTGCAAATTTCCAGAATTTTTGCAGACCAGCAGACATTTTTAAATACCTGTCATGAAGTCCTCCAACAAAAATTTTTATTGCAAAAATCAAGTGAAAAAACTATGAAGCAGCTATAGTAGAATGCCTTAAAAAAATTAAAAAGCTGGGCTTCAAGAAAGGTTCCTCAGAATGAATCCTTGACATAATTTATTTTAGTAGGTGAACATTTGTCTCGAGTGTTATTGGGAGAAAAGCCAGCTTTACTTTTAACAGATAATTTCTAGTGCCAATGTCTCCAAAATCTCATATAAAGATAACAGACTTCATGACTACCTCTGATAAATTTAATGCAGAATAAAATTTTGTGCGGACCAGCAAAAGCCTTCCACGGACAAAGAGGCCACTGGTTTAGACAAATGAACACAAATTATTTCCAATAAACGTGCTTCGGATCATGTTGTCTTATTTATGGACATTCAGGCGACATCTGACTTCGAGAAAAAGTTGCGCGTCAAGGAATAATTACCTTGACTGTCTTGGGATCCATTTCCCAGAGTATCACTTGTCCATCTAGAGAACCAGAAGCAATGGTCTTCATGTCCTTCGAAATGGTAACAACCGAGGGGCAATGCGTAGGGGCGTGCTGACCCCATAGCACGGTTGGCACCACTAGATTTGGCTGGAACGTCATCGCGTCCACCAAATTGACCGTCTCTTTTTTCACTCCAACGAACACCTCAGAAACACGCGTATCACTTTACAATGAACATTTAGCCTCCACAGGACTTCATTTTTCATTGAATTCAGTTTTTTTTAAACACACCCCGGCCCCTCCCCCTGTAAAATAAACGAAAATCGTAAATAAATATAGCTAGAATACGCGAACAAATCTTCGACGTCCAGAAAAATCAACAGAAATAAAAATGCATTTTACCCAGACATGCAACCATTACGAAAAACGTCGATCAAAGAATTTCAAATCGGGTCGCCGTCATTTCATTCTAAAAAAGCGCAGAACCTTCAATCAACCAGCAATATCATCAGCATCCTTCATATCATAATTCTTGTTCGTAGAATTCTTGATTTTCTTCGAGCGTTTATTCTTATCAACTTCCATGTCAGAACTTGAAATCGGGATCGACTCAGGATTTCCCTCCATCGCTTCATCTGTCTTGAGGAATTCTTCCGGGACAGATACGTTCAATATGTCAGGCAACATGTGGGGCTTGAACCAAGAACAAAAATTCGTCAGAACCAAAATAAATTTCAAAAAATTATTCAACGATCAATTAACGATCATCACCTTCAGCCAAGTAGCTAGTGGTGTATAGCCAGATGTGTAGGCGCCCAGTTTGTGATAAAACAATATTCCGTCAAGTTTTTCCCCACCCTGAAAAATGTCTTCGGACCTACGCATCGCATTCTCCAGTTCAACTTTAGCGCATGGCAAATAATCCAAGGGTACGAATTTGAAGAAGTGCCCAGTTCCGGTTTCCGCAAGCGAAGAATTTTCAGACATTCGGGATCTTGTGAAAAATGCTCTGCATTCTTTCTGTAACGTAAATTTTTGATAGCATATTCAATAAAAGATTTATTCGTACGACGATATCGAGAGACTTGATATCCCTGCGTCGATGGAAATTTACCGAGAGAAAAAAATAAAAATTAAATAAATAATAGAGGAAGTTTCTCGCGACAAAGGCTATACAGTATAATGTTAAAAGAAACAAATCCAACCTATTTCAAGAGGATGGACAAAGAAAAAATACTAATCTTTCCCACGCTCGCTCAACAGACCTATCGGAAAATCAACACAGACTCCGCCTCCAGTCGCTTATCAAATTTCCACAGAAAAAAAAACTGAATGTCGCGGAGAAACTCTGAATCATCGCGAGAAAAAAAAAGTGAATCTATTTTTCCTTGGGACAATGTTACGCATTCATCGAGCGATTTTGGACGCTTCAATAGGGTTAGTTCCTGAATGAGACAACTACAATAGATATGCTTACATCACAGTCGAGGAGCACGTTCCCTTTCCAACACATGACATCCAAAACAAAGTATGTTCTTGTTTCGAGGGAAACGATACAGTCAAGAACGGTTATGTCATCGTTGTGGCTGCCTGAACCGGGCAACCGAGATTCAAAGGTGTTCACGAGGTAACCCATCTTGGTAAACGCCTTCGTTTTCCCCTGTCAATCATAATATCAGTTTGATTACTCAAAAATTATACGCACGGAAGGCCAGGAATTTTTCCACTGCTTCAGCAATTTACGAACGTCACGAAAATCCAACGTTGTTCATGCATTTATGATACGAGGAAAATATAATCGCAAATACTTGAATTTGGGAAACTTTCCACTCACTTGAGTAGCGACCACGAGTGTTCTTCTCCCCACGGGACACAGAGTAAACACCCAGTTTTCTTCCATGTTTGGAGGCACCTCCACGAGCCATTCGGAAAGCATCAACGCATTCTTCAAATTGTGGCTTCGTACGCATTCCTAGTCCATTAAATAATCTTTACTCTCCCAGCAGTGAATACGTCAGGTTCATCACTTACTATTAATGTGGAATCTCCGTCAATCAAATGCCGCAGTTCCTTAGCATAATCATTCGGGAAATCAAGTGAAACACGTTTCTTCCTCGTTTCAGACTCGACATTTTCCGTATTTGAGCCAAAACGTTTTGCGTTCAGTGCCTCTTGACGCCGCCTGGGGATATGACGCCGAAAAAATGTCAATAATTTGACTGATTTCGTCAGCGATGTAAAAAATGAAACCCCCAAAATATGGAGACTAATTTTTTTTATCATGAATGAACAAGATAGGGAAATAGAATCATAAACCAACGTTTAATCAAGCAGATGCCATCATGCGAAGTGACACGGAACACTCCTTTGTTTTGTGAAAAATTATGTGCCTTATTTTCCTCGATGAATCACCCTTTTATTTTTAGTGAAAAATTAAACGTTATCGTTGGCAACGAGCACACGTTGATCACACGAAAAACCTATTACGTGACTATTCGAGGCCCTGGTTTTCATTCACGAGAATCCTTTGCCAAATAGATTCTCGCTGTATCCATGGTTTCAAAGGATTAAATACAAAAAGAGGGATCGATTCATCGCTCACAAGTAATTCGAATGGTTTTTTTACGAATGCGGAACGCAAGCGAACATTTTTTCAAATGACTCATGTAAATAGAATTAGGCAAACGTTTATGAATAAAACTTGTTCCACGTGAAACAAAAGAACTATTTCAATTTCCGAGTCAATTGACTTGCCTCGTTTGAATGCTCAACAGATCCTTTCTCCGGTCTTCCTGGGAACTTTCCAGCAAAGCTTTCTTCGATCCAGCATACCTTGGATGAATTCTAGCAGCATTCACCGGTAGAGCCTCGACCTCAACCCCTTTCAAGCCACTTATCAAATCTTCCATCTTGAATAACTCTGCAGAAAATAAAAAACGGACAACAGAAAAAACACAGAAGACTTGCTCAAAAGATAAAAATGCTTTTACAATTTTTGAAAAAAAAGAAAAAGAAAACGAGACAAAAGTCAAACAAACCGCCCACGCAACCCCGGCGCCGTCGTTTTTATTTCAATAAAACTTTTTCTCTTCTTTGTTTCCATCCGGGGCCCCGAACACGTCAAGATGTCCAGCGAAGCTTAGAAAAATGTCCCTTTTCCTCACTCTCCTCGCGCTCGGAATAAAACCACACACTCATGCTATAAAAAAACCGAGACAGAGAACGGAGGGGGGAATGAAGTAACATTGACAACGCCGAGAGAAAGGAAAAAAAGCAAAATTTTTTCCTCAAAGTTACAAACAGATAAAACGATTCCGCGAATAAATACACCGCCACTCCTCTGCATTATGAACAATGACCGGACGCAAAATACACAACATTTCAGCACACGTGCTCTTTTTCCCCCTCCTTTTTTTCTATCTTCGTCTTAAAAAAAAAAAAAACAATCCCAGCAACATGTGCAAAAGCAAGAAACGAAAACGAAAACAAAACACTCTGTACACTTCCTTCTACGCGGGCTTGGGTTCAAAACAAGATCAACCTGGCGTAATTTCGACCTCAAGACCATCGCTTTTGATTAGTTTTCCCTCGTTTTCTCTTTTTTCAGAACTGCAGAGAATATCAAACTAACGCGAACACATAGAACACGGGCACAAATAATACGGATCTCTACAGAGGTTCGAAATAAAAGCATAAAAAATACTTGACTACATTCAAGGTTTCAGATATTTTTTTTCCTTCATAATTTATAAGCGATGGTCCAGAAATCAAAATGAAGCCCATTGCAAAAAAAAAATCTTCGCGCCGAACAACGAGAATAACGGCTAATCATCATGTGTACATAGTGCACGTCTGAGTGGTTTCTTTTGAGTTGCGGAGGACATGCTTTAATATCTTGTTTTTTCTCTCTTTTCTTCTTTTTTTGCTTGAAGGAAATGAGGAACAAATGGGGGTTAAGGTTTCCATGTACCACGCAGGGATTGTGGCAGGGCGTTGTGGGGGATCATGTCGAGCAGGTACTGACGTTGCATGGCCTCTGCTTGCCGCTGCAGTTCCGCCGTTTGGCGCTGGATCTCGGCTGCCGACGCCGCCGACGTGGGCACCTGTGGCATCTTTCCCCCTTGCATGCTCCAATCCGCTGAAATTTGAACGAAGGAAAAATTCTCAATTTACAAAAGAGGCACGGCAGCTCTTTTTTGGATTGAGACACTCGCAAAACGTTTCAAGTAACACATGCTAGGTACAAAAATTTTCATCTAGTAGCACCATTACGGGATCTTCCCTGGCTTTGGAGCTTCATCTCCACGTAACCCTATTGTACACGCAAGTTTTTAAAGGCAATTCGAAGTCGACGTAATTCAATAGTCAAACCTCGATTTAATGCCACCCTTTTTCCTAGCAATTTGTGTCCCATCACCCTTTGTCCTAGCAATTCTGTGGCACTAAATCGAGGGTATTATAAGAGAGGAAGTAAAAGCTGATGGCTTCTACCACAGACTTCGTATTGTAGGCAAAATAAGCTTGTTAACAGAATTGTTAGGCCATTGAGTCTGTTTAATAAAAGAGAAGGCCACAAGAACCAATGTGAGGCTCAAATGTAAAATATTACTTCGCATTTAATCTAAATGACGAAGTGCTTTAATACCGCATTCACTCGAGTACCACGTGCACCTTTTTTTCAAAATTCAGGGGGAAAAGGAGGATGCGCGTTGTAGGCAGGTATACAATCTTCGATTTTTTTTAAATTCAGGTGAGCGTTATACTCGATTATAATGGACAAATTTTGACCAACTTTAACTGAAAAACGTTTTTAAAGAAAAATGAAAAAAATTAACAATTAATTGGATTTAGGTTCGATTCATGTTTAAATTTGTATTTTTGTACTGTACGTCTTTTTTTCCATATTGCAGTTGTTTCCATAACTAAAAATTAGTAAATATGCTAAATCCTCAACTGGATCCCCCCCCCCCTCTCTCTGTCGATTTCAATTCTGTATAGGAACATTAGCGATTAAACGAAGCCTGATCCTCTTAATGGACCATTCCACGTTCCATCTGTTGAAAAGCTCTGGATTAAGAGACACTCAGCAATTTATTTTTAATAAATCAAGCTTCGTGCAATTCGAATGAACATATAAAAATTTGTCATCGCCATTTTTTCTGCAACCGGGAAGACATAAAAAAGTATACATTTTGCATCTGCTCATTGATTATTCGAGCACAGGAAAATATCGAAGCTATATTTGAGAATTTTTATAAGGTTTTGACGGAGTTTGAAAAATGTGTTTCCCTCATCAACCATTACAAAAAATATTAACTGTACTGCGTTTCTCCTTCGAATTTACTCAGCGACAGCAAACCATTGTTTCAGAATTTCAAGCCACGAAAAATGTTTCACGCATTTTTACAATTTTGAACCGCGTCAAGACATATTTCATCGACGCACGAAAATTATGCTTAAAAATCAGAAGCAGAGATGCGAGAAAAAATTCAGCTGATGTGAATCATCGAAGGAAGTTCGAAAGATAGCTTAAATACTTCAAAAAGTCCGAACGGAATGATTTCAGTTGTATTTTGATGGGCATACTTAGTTGAATAACTCAAATTCACTCAACGGATTTTCTTGGTATTCTCGAATATATTGCAACGGTAAACAATCAATGAACTCGTGCTCGATTTTAGCGACCATTTCAAGTTACGATGACTATTTACGCTTGAGATCGGTCATGCGGTAGAAGGACATCAATTTTACAAGCCACCTCAGAAATAATGAGTCGACAACCCATTTTATAACCCATAGAAACCATTACCACAACTCCACTTCTGCTCATCAAAAATGCACGCAAGATAAACGTCGTCCAAAGAAAAATCTCCCGAAATCAGAAGTTAAAATGAGCCGTATGGACCAAGCTCCAGGTGAATAACCCCATCGTACTGTACTTCAACACGTCTTGGGTGAACGGAACGTTTAAACGCTGATCATAAAAAGTATTCGCGGATACCTCGAAAACGCATCATGGGAAGAATGATGAACAGTTTAGGTACAAAGATATGAACGGGAATAAATCCTGATCATAAGTCTGGTAGCAAAGCGCTGCTTTCATTGTACTGTAGGTAATCCGGTGCGACCTAAAAAAAACTAGCCTTATTTAAATATTTGATCAACTCAGCCTGACAGAAAAGATAGACGATTTTTTCATGAACATTTATAAATGCTCCAAGCCACAGAAAAAATAATTTCCAAGACGGATTATAAAAATGTTGAAAATAGAAACAGAAGCTCTCGTACTTGCCAAGTACACTACGTAAAATTATTTTAATGAGTTTTTTTTAATCACTACAGTACAGTACAGTACTACGAATGAATACATATGGTTCGTTCTTGGGAAAGAATTTTCCCATAATCCATGAGCAAAAAAAAAAGAAACCAGTCGTCCCCAAAACCGAAGAAAAGTGAACTTTCCCTTCAAGGAAATTTCAAGGAACCAAGAAAAAGTATTTCTACAGAGAAATTCGTAGTAGAGAACCCCTATTAAACGAGGAGAGAACCCTATGAGACCACGAAAAACTTCGTTATACAGAAAAAATCGTTGTGAAGGGAGTCCACCTGTATTTCAGTACCTTTCTTACTGCTATACTTACGCTCTGCTTAGGAAAAATCCAAAAATAATAACAGTACGATAGAAAATTACATACTGTACACAAACCACATGAGAACTGCGTAGCGCTTGCATACAACTATATTTGACTGGAAGAAGTTTCCACAATTGAGAGATCATAATTTTTACTCGTACAACCGTCAGGTATGCTTTCTTTTCTAATTTGTCACGCACTCAGATGTTCGGTAATTTTGTGGAAAATTACTCTTGTGAAGAGTGCGTCCTTTTTATGGTGGAAATGTGGGTTCAACGTATGATTTACTGCAGTGCTTTCGTGCATAATTTAGAACTCACCGGCCATCGCAGCAAGCTGATAGGGATACAAAAGAGGGTTGAACAGATTTGGATTCAACAGGTGCGCTGGCATCGGGGCTTGAGGCAAGCTCCTCAAAAACTGCTGGTGCGCAGCCGTCAGCAGCGGATTAGACGCCGCGGCCTGGGCCAACAACTTGGCCGGGTCCATAGCAGCCGCTGCAGCCGCCAAATTCGCCGCAGCTGCAGCTGACTGCGCAGAACTCGAAGACGACGACGACGTCGAATTAGACGACCCTCGCTGCTTCGGCTTACTATGAGACGCAGCCGAAGCGGATTGAGACGCTGCGGCGGCCGCGGCCGCCGCCGTCATCAGAGCGTTGAGATCCATTGGGAGTTGCATCCCGTGATTCAGTGAGTTCTTGGAGAAGCTCGACGAGTGGGCCGCCGGAGGAGGCGTGGACGCGGCATGGTGTTGTTGGTGTTGCTGTTGTTGGTGCTGTTGTTGTTGTTGTTGCTGCTGCTGCTGCTGTTGTTGTTGTTGTTGCTGCTGTTTGCGCAAGGATGCGGATGACGATGAGCGCGACAGCGATGATGAAGACGGGCGCGGTGATGGCGACGGCGCCGGGGACGGCACTGGCGACGCAGATGCGGATGCCGAGCTGCGTCGTCCGTCGTCGACCAGTGTCGCCGAGACGCCGCCTGAAGACGGCGTCGTGGGCTGAGGCGAAGATGCCATGCGCTGTTCAATTTCTTGCTCTTGTTGCAGGGCCTTGACGAACGCCTGCTTCAGTCTATTCGTGTGCTGCGCCTTCAGGCCCTTCTTCACGTTCGTCGTCACGCACAGCTCGCAAATCACCGGCTTTCTTCCGTCCCCTGCTGAAGAAATCATCGAAGGACATTCACTTTCAAGAAACTCAAAAAAAGAGCGATACTTTATCCATCTTTGCGCCGAAAATAGCCCCTGCATAAAAAAGCCTATTAAAAGATAAAGAACGTGACTGAATTATTTCTTGAGCGATTAAACTTTTATGACGCGTGTCCTAAACTTTTCGAATAGTGGGAGTGTGGGAGAATTTGTACAGTCGAACCTCTTCAACGGACCAGCAACAATCGTCCTAGGGGGTTTCAAGTGAGGGAAACAAGCATTTTGTTGCGGTAAAAAAAAAATAATCACAGGGAATTGTAGTCAGTGATATTCTGCGCCTCAAATTGCTTTTTAAATGAGGTGACAGGATGCTGAACTTGGAGGAAAAGGTTCATTTGCCCAACTAGTCTTTTACTTCCTTTTAAATCACATCGAATTTCCTTTTCTATTGCTTTTTTTCTTTCCTGCATTAATAAAATGACGGCCAAACGGCTTTCAGAAAATTCGAGGCATAGAAATTTGAGGAGGAAAGCCTCCAAATTAGGGATGTATTTAATGCATTGTAATTCAGACAGGGACTTGAAAAAATTGTTTACACTAGAAGGTATTCGACTTATGGAGGTTCAACTGTATTGTGTTGAACATAACGTTTGCGGTAACTAAAATTATTCTAACTTATCAACCGGGTATCCAGTTAAAATAACCTTGCGCTAAGTTTAACTTATTGAGAAAAACGAAGTGGCCTATACAAAACAGTACACTCGTAATACAGTACCGTAATTTACTTGAACCAATTCATTTTCCTCAGATGACAATAAACCCAACATAAAAAAAACACAGCAGGAACCTGAACTTCCCTACCGAGTGCAAACAAGCTAAAGGGCATTGAATATTTTCGAAATATGACACGAAGATCCAACAAGTGTAAATCGACAATTATTCCGAGCTCAGATAATTTCAATTCAAGCGGCAATGTTCGTGGGGTAAAATTTAGGTGTAAAAGTCTAATTTGTCACGCGATGTTTATTGAAGTACTGTATCCACGGATTTCGGCAAAAATAATTCAGGAATGAAGGTCTCGGAATCAACATTTTGATAGAATACACGCGTGGAAGGTCGAGCTTAGTCAGCAGACATAAATGAATTTCCTGCGCAGTACAGTACTTGAAGTAATGCACTCGATCCAAAATGCAATGCTCTTGGAAAATTATAGGGACCCAGACGGATGAAGAGAAAAAAATCGACCCATTTTCTTCTCCCATTCCCAGATAATTTCACCGTGAATGCTTTGCCCAATAGCAAAGACGAGGGAGGGGGGGGGGGGGGGGTAGGGGTAATAAAAATANGCCCAATAGCAAAGACGAGGGAGGGGGGGGGGGGGGGTTAGGGATAATAAAACTACCAGATTGGAATTATATCAATTTTCGCATTCCCAAGTTCCCCCAAAAATAACAAACAACCTAAGGAAATGAATAAAATATTTTCGTCGCAGTAGATGGTCAACAATGCAGCGTGAAAAATGAATTATTCACGTGCGCGCTCACAGTATTTTTCCTGTTTACCGTTCTTTTATACAAAAGAAAACAATCAATTCAAGTTTGCCTCAAAAGCAATCTCAGATGACGTGGAATCGCGTTTCAAGATTTCAAATTCCAGTTCGGCACTGAGTTTTGCTCGCTATGAATAAGCAATTGTAGAAGTATTGTGGCGAGAAGAACTGCGTTATTTTAAATAAATACCAGACGTCGCCGGATTCGTTTTTTTTTCTTTTTGCCATTCTACAGGTTTCTCTTGATTTTTTCATTTCAATTTTACACGCAGTGGGGTGATTCAGGCATTACCTGCTCGACATCATTTCCTGTACAAATTATCGGATTGAAAATGTTTCAGTAGATTTCTTTCGTATTCATGAAACAAGGTAAAATATTCCGATAATGAACAAAGCATTGAAAGCTACTTCTGGGTTCCATGTGAACGCAGCTACTCGATAAAATTAAGGATGAGATACAAAAACACGTCCGGATTAGACGATGCAAATTTTCTTTCACTATTGTACCAAACTTGGCAAAAAAATGAGACCAACCTTTGCACTTCTTCGTTTTGTCCCACTTCCAAACAGGAGTAAAATCAGTGTCGCACTGCGAGCAGCGAAAACCTTCCGCAGGCGACACTTTCTGCGGCTGGGCGTGAAACGGATTCGGGTCTTTGAGCAGGTAATTGACAGCACACTCCAGGCCGACCAAGTAGATAAACTCCATGTTGGCGGCGTTGGGAATGAAGTGCATCTCCGGTGGCGGCGGTTTCGGCGGTGGGATTTGCAACAGAGTCTTCTCCAGCTGCTTCCGTAAAGCAAGTTTTGCTGCGGCTTGACGTTGCGCAGGCGTTTGCTGTTCCTCTCGCTGCGACGAGGAAGAGGAAGTCGACGTTGCCGACGTCAGCGAGTTTTGCGACACTGATGACGACTGGGACCTCGAACCTTGGAAACCTTGCGGTCCTAGAAAATACATACGATTTAGATCAACAATATGGTTCAGCAAAATGAAAAGCATTTCTACATTTCACACAGTTTCCCCAGAAGCTGGCCAGGCAACACAATTATTACGCATGTCAGTATATATACTGTACAACGATAAAAAAAAACGGTATTCACGCTAATAAAGGACACGCTTCTTGTCTGATTCAAAATTTTAAATAGTTTAATATTATCCCAGATACGCAAGCTAATACTGTAACAAATTTCAGGGTTGTACCAAAAAATTTACTTTGAATAATATGTCATCTACTCGGTCAACATCTTTTTTTAAGAGATGCAGGATCCCAATTTCAATTATTTCTGGCTAATTTTCTTCAGTCGAGAAGTGTGCTTACGTGCGTGAACACATGATATACATAAACGTATGATTGATTATACATTTTCACAATGAATAAAATGATTCAGACGCGTGAGACACACCAATATTCTTCCAATTGAAGTCGCAGAAGATAAACTATCTTACGAAAATACATCGAAATCGGTAAACTTACCAGTGCTAGGGGGTCTAGATGAGGACGTGGCTCGGATGGAAACATCCGGAGGAAGCATGGCAGCGCCTGATGAACGCGGGCGGTACGGATTTTGAACCTTGGCCGAAGAATGCTAAAACCAAACCCATTTGATTAGCCCGTGTTCGAAAAATTTCACATTAAATTACGGTAGTTAGAATTCTTACTTTCGAAGGAGCAGGTGGTCCCAGTGGAACGGAGGAGCTCATTTTGTGATATAATCCCGGGGGCATGTTGGGAGGAGGTTGCTGAATGGAGCCGGCGTGAGACCCGTGATCTTGCGAATGTGCCACAGGAGCTTTGGTGATCGTGAGATTAGCTGGAAGCCTCGGTTCGGGACGTTTGTGGTAATTCACGGGGGCGCTGTGAGCTTGGGGACCATTTGTCCGGTTGACAGTCAGCGCCACAGGGCCGTCTCCGTTCATGTTTTCGTACTTGGTCAAAGCAGGAACCGCCTTGGATTCTCGTGTTTGCTCATGCCGCCTATACAGCTCTTTGATCAGCACTAGCTTCAATTCCTCGTTCCTAAGCTTCTCCTTCAGTAATGCAACTTCTCTTTCCTTTTCCTGCCTTTCGCTTTCAGGCATTTCCTACGGAATACAGGCGTAGTTCATTAGGAACAATGAACAAAGAAATGAATAACACTTCCTGCTAACCTTATATTCGGGAAGAACGAAGTTTTCGTCGTCTGAGTCTTCATCGCCAGATTTTTCTTCGTCGGACTGCAATATGATGTCCGGGACTTCCGCGTAACTCTTCTCTGCGCGGCGTCTTGAGGATCGGCGCAGTCCATGATCATCGGTGTCCAAATCATTGGTCTTTTCTTTCTTAGCCGCAAAGGATTTTGCGGAAAGATCTTCTTCTCCAGAATCTTCATTAGCATGGGTTCCACGTGCACTATGGCGCTTTTTCCGAGAGGATGGTCTAAGTTTCGCAGAAAATGCAAGAAAATTATTAAATTACACCACTTGGGGAGGGGATGAAGAAGTTCAGCACTTACGTAAGTTTGACGCTGAGATCAACCACGGGATCGTCAATTTGCATGGATTCCATGCTGAACCACGTTGATCCCAAAGCGTAATTGCGTACGCAAAACGGACGCACCGCAAAATTGATTTCTCGAATCCTTAGAACTGAAAAGGATCACTCGTAAGCCTCATTCATGCTGTCATGAACAGTAGCTGCACGGGGCAAGAATTTAACGTCACACATCACACGTGTTTTATAGATAATAATCGAAAAGCAGGCGGTGAGTTGTTCTTTCAAATCTCAAGTTAACTGATTATACAGCAAAATATTTTTGAAAAGTAAAAATATTTGCAGAACACTCACATCTCTCGTAACTATGTCACATATATCCTCGTACTGGGCAAAAGTTCAGAATTCGAAGATACCGGCGCGCTTCCACAGCCCTGCAGTAGGACGCGTACGGAAAGTAATGTTCCTTTACACTAAGTTACTTTCACGTAGAGAGGGAGATGAAAGAAAATCTTCGGCCTCGGCGTCTAATGCTCACCTTTACATAAACGGCGGTATCTTGTGCTAAAATTATGTATTTAAAAAATGCACGGCAACGAAAAAATAAATGCCGTGCACTTTTTGAAATCGATAATTGCTGATCGCTTGTACGAAAGCCGCTGCAAGTTGTACAACAATGGCACCGTATCAACCTCAGGGAAGGTTTGCAATTCTTAGCCTATCAGTGACAACAAACACTTCATTTTGATTCGACTTCTGCAAAAAAGTAATCCGTATTCCTGCCCAGATCGTAATTAGTATAGATATGACGGATGCATATCAGATGGCGCTGATGCATTCCGGCATCATTATATTTGAAGATTTATCATACGAATCTTTATTTCTCATCGAATTTAATAAAATTTTCTTGAAATTTTTTAACGAAAAACTTTGTTATTCAAGTGCATTCTTAAAATGGTACTGTCATAGTAAATATTTCGTAATTTTCAAGTAGGTCAACTGAACGAAAGCATGAATTTGTAAGCAATTAACTATCAGCGGTTAGTTCCACGGAACCCTAGTGGTGAAGCTTGCAACTAATTTCCCATATGGGTTATTTCGACTCTGAAGTTCGCGTTTCGATGGAAAAGTTCTTCGGAAGCGCCGGTTTTTTTTTTTACTCTTTAAGCTGTTGCATTTCGTGGTCTAGGGGAACCTGGGCATTTCTGTAGAAGTTAAGTTTTCCGAATGCGATTCTGTTGCATCACAGTGCATTTTTGAAAGTTGAATAATTGAGACCATTGGAAGACAAAACTTGTGAGTTACATTCTTCAACTTGTGTTCGCACCGTTCTGGTGAAGGTACATTTGAGTGTTTCTTGCTAACGTTTGCTTTATACTTTGGTTGCACATTTGAAGAATCTGATTATCCGATTCATATTGTTACTTCTGCCACTGGTAATTGGCCGCTTCTGAGGTTCATTTTTTTTTAGTCCCGTAATCGGAATCATTGTCGCCTTCTAGGAAGAGGAAATGATCGCAATGTCTAAAGATGTTGAATGCACTTTTTGATTGTGTTCTGTGGGATATTTCTAGCTGTAGCGAACCTATAGTGTTGACCTGTGTCTAAAGTGTAACCGCGACTGACCCAGAAAGACGGTCCAATGATGAATGACGCGCCAGATGGCGAAAATTTGCTCGGGGACAACGGCTATGGCGACATGCAAGACATGAACGGAGAACAACCCCCAGGAGTTCCTGGTGGTGACGATTATTCTTATGACCCGAATTACGGGGGACCTATGGGGGGTTGGGGCCCTCCTCGAGGACCTGGCCCATTTCCTCCGATGCGGGGCGGCGGGCCGGGGTTTCGCGGTGGTTTTAGTGGTGGGCCAGGTGGTCGCCCGCCTTGGGGACCTCCTGACGGTCCACCGAGATTCATGCCGCCGCGGGGACCTCCGATGAGAGGCGGCTTTCGTCCGGGTTTCCGTGGTCCACCGCCGTTTCCGAACGGAGGCCCGAGATTCAATGGACCTTATGACAATTCAAACTGGGGAGGACCTCCTCCTCATGGAAACATGGTAAAGCTATACACATGAAACCGTTTTTCCGTGCGGAGAAGCTTGATTCATCGATATTTTCACACAGGGCGGTGGTGGTGGTGGTGGTTGGAATGAACGTCCTGATGGTCCAGCGCCTGAGGAAGCACCTGTAAACCCATTGAGCAGTCTTCTTCCTCCAGGTAAATCAAGGATACTAATTCCTCAGAATTTCAGCTGAATAAAGATTTTTGAAACTCGCATGAGAGAATATTTCCTCTTCTTCAACCAGGTGTCGACTTCAATACTGCGAATGTTTGGATAGAGACTAAGACTCCCGAAGGAAAGTGTTATTTTTACAACGCTAAGACCAGGGAAACGGCCTGGGAGAAGCCGCAGAACGCTCATTTCATTCAACAGGAAGAGGTTCATAGTTACTCATTTTCGCCGAAACTTAATAGTTTCATTTCTCACATGCATTTTTTTTTTATTTAGTTGGAAAAGGTGATACATCAGGTTGCACAGCCTTCGCAAAAGGACGGTCCACCTGGTGAAGGGAAGGATGACGGCATGGCGATGGGGAATGGTGATTTCGGTGAGCCTTTGATTTGATGTACTATTCTTTATTTTGCCTACTAAATTCGGTGAGATCTACGAAAATTCTGAAGAATCGCAGTTTGCACCCTTGGTCAAATCAACGTTAATGGAAAAGGCTCAAAAGAATATATATTCATCAAAAACTTGACGAGATGAAATTGATTTGAATCATAGTCGTGGTCGACCAAGTTCCTCCGTTTTATGTCGTTATGCCAAAAACCTTAGTTGTTTGTTTTAACGCCCTCTTAGTATACAGTTGATACCATGAAATTCACGGTACGAAGTTCTTATTTTAGCGACGGCGTGATTTATGCGCCGCTGGACCCACAAAAATTATGCTCAACAATGTAAGATATGATTGTACAGCGAAGTTTGTGTCTAAGAAAAATGGGAAATGTTTAAAATCGTTGAAAATACAGAACATTATTCCACTGAATGATGTTTCACGCGTGACGAATTTAAATTTGATGTTTCTTTGAGCGAATCCTCTTGAGAATTATTTATTTCATAAGAAATAGAGACGCGAGAATCTCTTTCGGGAGTATTCATTTATTTTCCTGGAAATCTCTCTCACTTCGACTACATCAATAGGTGTCCTAAAGACGTCGACTTCCTGCATTTTTCCAGGGTAATCACGAGTTACAGTCCCAAGGAGACTCATAAATATTTCCTGATTACATGCTCATATTTGCCCGGAATATTCTCGTTTTCGTGTTTGAATCATCCTGTACTGTATTTTAATCTATTGAACTTTGCCTGGAAAAGTCAATTGAAAGAGAGCTACGATGAGAACAACTTGAGCTTCTCAAAAGTTGTATGACTCGGCTCTTCGGAGAAGTGTTCTTGACGTTGCATCCTTTCATATAATTTACGATCCTAGGTGGCTACGGTGGCTATCAATCGCAACAATATCCCGGCATGCAACCTCAATGGGGCATGGGTCCTCCACCCGGAATGATGGGCATGCCTCCGCCTGGAGGCATGGGAATGCCTCCCCCGGTTGTGGCTGCCGCTGTAGCCCCTCCTGGTTACTCCGCTGCAGCCCTGGGCATTGACGAAAGCGAACTCGTCAAGAAACTGGACCCTGAAATCGTGGCGAAGGCGAATGAGTGGACCGAGCATCAGTCCCCGAATGGACTGCCGTATTATTACAACACTCGAACTTCGGATTCCGTTTGGGACAAGCCACCGGCACTCCGAGACTTCGAGGGTGCGTTTTCGTTGGTACAAGGGGTAGCAATGTACTGATTTTTATTTTTTGGCATTTCATTTTAGAAAGAGAAGGTGTTGGAAAATGTTTGATAGTCGAGATCAATAACTGGCGATATGCTCCGTATTTCAGCATACAGTAGTGTGCATTCAATAAAGGTCATTTTAGTCGATTAAATCTATCCCATGGCCGATTTTGTGATGAAATATCTGTTGTCTTAGTTCATTTTTGAGAAAGATATACAGTACGTATGTATCGATAAAATGCATTTCCGGAAGAAATGTGCGGCTTTTTTCTTGAAATTACAGGGTAAATTCAATTAAATGTACATTTTCAATAATTTCAAAACAAATAAACTTGTTCTAAAAAAAATGCCCCCTGCTCCCTCTCCTCATCGCTAAAAGAAGAAAGCGCGAAAACGTTCTTAGTGTCCAAAAAGGTCATTTTGGATTTTTCCTTATTTAGATTATTCAGTTGAAACAGAAACTTATCGAAATGTCCTAATTAAAGCCATAGGACGTATTTTCATCGCATTTCATTCTGAAATTGCTGTCCTATCTCGAATGATGTAATTCTCTTCCTTTTTTCCTCGGAGACCTTCATGAAAACGCGAATGTCATTTTGGTTTTCGTTTGATACAGCTGCTAAAATGGCGGCGATACATGCCATGAAAATGATGAAGGAAAGCGGCGACACGGATCCGTTCCTCTCGATGAAGACGGATCACAGCGCGGAACCGACGGAGAAGACGAAAGCGGAGCCTGTGAAAATGGAGACGTCTAGTGACAAAGCAGCCGCTGAAGAAGCGAAGCCCGCGCAGGAAGAGACGAAAAAGGCTGACAAAAGCCGGCCGGTATCATCTGTACCCGTTCCAGGAACACCTTGGTGAGTCTTCATCATACTGAGTTGGTCCTCTCGGCTCGGTGAAAAAAAAATCGAATAATGAAGTTCGTGAAAATATCAACAGCGTAGTTACTCAAGTACCACGCGCACTTTTTTCTCGAATTTGAGAGGGAAAAAGAGGCGGGTATAAATTGCGGAAAAAAATTAGAAATTAAGTTGTGCTTTGTACTTGATTCTAGTGGGAAATGTTGGATCGAGTTTTAACCGAAAATTTAATTTCAATGGAAACAACTGAAAATTAGTCAAATCCATGTTCAATTCATTTATATTATGCAGAAAGGAAACCTGTTCCGTGATTCGATAATCATATTATTTTCCTCTTTGTCAGGTGTGTGGTGTGGACCGGAGATGGCAGAATGTTTTTCTACAATCCGTCGACCCGTTCGTCAGTTTGGGAACGACCGAACGAACTGCTCAACCGCGGGGAAGTGGAGAAGATCATCGCCGGTGGCCCACCGGACAAGGACGAGGTGAGACAACCAGCCGCTAATACTAACGCTTCAGACGAAGATGAGGAGGAGGACGAGGACGAAGAGGATGAGGAACCCACCAACAAGAAGCCGCGTCTCGACGCCGATGTCAAGTCCGCGGAAAATACAGGTTAGAAAGGAAGAAAAACTGTCTTGCATAATATGATATTAATGCATAAGTATTCTAAAAATTTTTTTTTATCACTGACCTTGCGCGAAAATTACTCAACTATACAAACTAAGGAAACATTGATGCTGAATAAAATGGGATCTGCGTAATGAATTTGATCTTTTCCGGCTTACAGTTCATTATTCAAGGCTTTCGTTGTCGATTTTTTTCCGTAGTAACCTTTAGAAAATTATTTAACTGGTTCCTGCATCAAATAAAAGGAAGAGAATTTGTACGAAAAATTCAGAAGCAGACGAGAACGCGAAACGAATTTTTGATTTGCTGATGAGTTTCAATTGAAAAATATAGAAGCATGCAGATCAGGAAGCACAGAGGAAATTCATGTTCCATCGAAATATAAATGTACCTTCGAATTTTTTTATTTTTTATTTAAATTTTCAATTCTCATTTGGAAATACAGTACAGTACTGTAAACTGTATTTACGTCAATATAATGTGCAACTCTTTTTTCCACAACTAAGGGGGGAAATCGGGTGCGTGTCATAGCTCATAGGTGGGTGTAAAAATTTTAAAAGCTTCGATGTACATTATGCTTGATTTTGGTGGGGAATTTTAGGGCCAATTTCAATACTTTTTTTTGAAAACGAGTTAAAATTATATTTAACTGTGGTACAAGTAGAAGCGAATCTTCAACGCGTGATGCGTTCTAGTTAGAAAATATTACAACTTTCAGATGCCAAAATTGGAGTGCGTTTCCCACTCAAAGGCATGTGGTACCGGTACTGTTGTGAAAGAGTGAAATGATCTCGATTTTAATTTTTTCCCATAAAAAAAATTTTTCTAGTTTTTCTATTTGACTTGAGGTTTTCTTCCTCAAAGATTAATTGGACATGTTCAAGGCAAAATAACGGCCAAACGTGGGTTCTTTTGAAGCTTTTCATCGTTGAAGGCCCCACTTGAGAACTTGAAATAGTGAAGTACTGGGCAGGAATACGTTTGAGACTTGGATTTTGGGGTATCCCTCAACTCACTTGAATTTCTTCCTCAATTAGGTGAGGACAAGCCGAAGACGATAGACATAGGCATGCAGTCGGCCATAGAGGCCGAATCGCGGGCAGCTAAAGAGCGCGAACAGGTGCCGTTGGAGACGCGGATGCAGCAGTTCCGCGAGATGCTGGCCGAGAAGGAAGTGTCTGCCTTCTCCACCTGGGAGAAGGAGCTGCACAAGATCGTCTTTGACCAACGCTACCTTCTTCTCACGTCCAAGGAGCGAAAGGCCGTTTTTGAAAAGTATGTAAAGGAACGGGCCGAGGACGAGCGACGTGAGAAAAAGCTGAAGATGAAGCAGAAACGCGATGATTTTCGAACTTTGCTGGAAGAGTCTTCGTTGCATACCAAGTGAGTTTTGGCTAGCGAAATATTTGACGGTGATCGTGGCTTTTTTTGGAGTTAAGGTAAAATAATGCTCTCAATACAGTCGAACCTCTTTAATTCAAACTTCAAGGGACCAGCAAAAAAAAAAATTTAATTGAGGAAACATGGACTTTCGTTGAGGGAAAAAAGAAAGACGAATTACAGGACATTTTAATCGATGATATTCTAGTCTTTAAAGTGCTTCTTGAATGAGTTTACACTTACAGGATGAACTTGGAGGCAATGGTTTATTTGCTCAACTATTCTTTGAATTATCTTCAAAACACATCGAGTCAAATTTTTATTTTGCTTTTCTCTCTCATGCGTCAATAGAATGATATTCAAAAGACTTACAGAAAATGTTGGGACGTTTACTTGAACAAAGGTCTCCGGAACCCGTGTTCAAAGAAATCTGGATCTGAAGTACTGTACGTCCTTCTCGAGAATTTTGAAATGAGTACTAACTGACACAGTACAGTTAATGCTTGATTTACGTTGAAGCCATAGCTGTTACACAGGAAGTGGTATGTAAAATTTGTCATGCAGGAAACGAAAAAGACATGGGTTCCCAAAATCCTGTGTCGTAATCTTTCTAGTCCGTGCCATCAATATCAAATTTATTATACTGTATCTCTGTACAGAAATTTTCTTAAAATCGTTGATTCTGGATCGGCAAAACGTTTGACCCAACCGTCACATTTTAGAGGGTTGGTTATTTATTTTTATTTTTTTCGAATAAATCGATAACTCACACCCCCTACACGAGTTCAAAAACATATTCAATGATCTGACGAATTGACTGTGTGTTTATTTGCAGGTCCTCGTTCAGCGAGTTTTCGTCGAAACATCAGAAGGACGAAAGGTACAAGGGGATCGAGAAGATGCGCGAGCGAGAAAGTCTGTTCAACGAATACATCCAGGAACTGCGACGAAAGGAGAAAGAGGACAACAAAGCGAAACGGGAAAAGGTCAGTTTTTTCCGGGTCCTTCCGAAAAGTGCATGCTTGATATGTTCGTTGCTTTCAGGGTTAATGACAAACTGACTGCTTGTCCCTTTTTTTCCAGGGATGACGTTAATGCTAAACTTTCTCTTTCAGCGACTTGCAGGGTTTTTTATTCTAATATTCTCTGGCTAATTGTGATTGATTGATTGATGGATTCATTTTTGAGATTTTTTTTTTGCTGAAACGACGGGTTGAACGGAAATATGTTCTGTTTTTGCTTTCCCCTTCCGAGAAGGCGCGGAAGGATTTTCTGGATTTGTTGAAAGAGTGCACGCAGATCGACAGACACTCGCACTGGGCTGACGTGAAGCGGCTGTTGGACACGGACGCCCGTTACGAAGCCGTCGGCTCCAGCAGCTTGCGGGAAGAGCTGTTTCGCGAGCACGTGCACAAGCTGAAGGAGGAGCGTGGGAAGGATGAGAGCCGGCGGGAGAAAAAGAGCAAGAAGAAGGATAAGAAGAAGGACCGACGTGAGTATGACAGAGATGAAGAGGACGAAGACCGGAAGGCGGCGAAGTCGAGGAAGAGTGGCGGCAGCAGCAGTGGCGGCGGTGGTGGTGGTGGCGGTGGCGCTGCAGAAGACGAGGAGAATGAAGACGGGGAAGTTTCGGAAGAGCGGGAGAAAAAGCTGCGCGCCGAGGCGAGTCTGCGGCAGCGTGAGCTTGAAGTAAGTCTTTGATATCTGTTTACTCAAATAAAAAAATTTTTAAAAAAACCAGGCCTTCTTTTTTTTTTAAGCCACAAATTAGATTTTATATTGATACATATATCTTTTATATTCATTGGTGTCTTACATTGAATAAGATTCGCTGTTGAAATGCTTGATTCAGATACTGCACTTCAGATTTCTAAACACAATGATCTTCCAAAGACAGTTTTTTGCATTCAATGCACCAAAAATGTTCTCATCAATTATATTTATCGATTATTTTTTGTATTGTTTCTGAGTCCTGAACAAAATTATCTCAAGAATAAATGTTTTTCAATGCGCCATAAATTTTTTGATGAATTCATCTTTTGTCGCTGAGAAAAGTTGGGATCCAGAGTAAACATTGTTGAGGAGATTAGACGGTTATCAGAAGTGTGGGAAGTACTGTTCCGGTTCATAAGAATCCGAATACTGTATACTGTACCCCTATTTTAATCGCGTACGACGCGCAAATTTCTTGAATTGTGCAAATGACAAGGGTGCTTGTCATTTTTTAGTCACTTGGCAGAAAATGTCATTCTCATCTTCGAAATGCGCTAGAAGAAAAAACTGGAACTAGCGTAAAGTCAAGTGAAAATAAATTTATTTTCGATCCTTTTTTCAATGGAATTCAACTTTCCCTTGATATTAAAATAAAATAATTCCAAATTCTGTACTGTTAATTTCGAAGTTTATTTTGGTAAGAAAGATGAAAAACTAAAATTTGCGTCTTCCGAAGCGGTATTTTTATTTTAAATACTGTATCCTGGAGAGAAAATGGTACTCGAGTGAATCAGGGTAATACAAGTGGACTCTTTCTCTACATTAGTCTACAACAATCTTGATTACAACGATTCTCTCTGTATAACGAATTTTCTTTTTGCCTCTATAAAGTTTTTTCTCCGTGTTATACGGGTTCCCTAGAACGACTTTTTTTTTCTGGTCCCTCGAATTTCGTCGCAGAGAGAGAGTCCAGCTGTAAAAGTTCGTACTGTACAATACAGTCAACCCCCGTCCAACGGAATTAATGTGTGCAACGGATAAGTCTGTTAGACGAAAAGTCCTTTAGAAAAGTTAAATAATGCAAAAAATTTTGATTTTCAACAGTAAGTTTAAACCAAAAAAAGTCTGTTCGGTGGATTTTGTCTGTTGGGCGAGAGGAAAACCTGCCTGCAGAGCTGGTCTGTTGGGTGAAAATCCCGTAGGTGGGGGAGCCACTGTATTACGTTCGATTATGTAGAGTATTTACGCCAGCTCGACGCTGTGATAGATATGATCACTGTAATGGAGATATTTTTTAATGTTTTCTTGTAGGTACAAAAGGAGTTGGAGGGACCGATGAGAGACCGGGACAAGGAGCGAGAGGCGTACAAGCGGGACGTGGCGGTGCAGCATTTCTGCGCCCTGCTCAGCGATCTGGTACGTGGCATTGATTTGACTTGGCACGAAGCGAAAAAGCAGCTCCGCAAAGACCGACGCTGGGACCTGGCGAAGTCGCTGGAAAAGGAGGAGAAGGAGAAGTTGTATGAGCTGCACATTGAAACGTTGACTCAGCGGAAGAAGGAAAGATTCAGGTGGGGTTTCTTTTTTTTAACTCGCATTTCTGTAAAATAGGTCGCGTGGCACTATCTGTTGTTCGAAGGATCTTTTTGGGTGGGACCCCGGCATATTAGGTCGAACTTAAACGGACCAGCAATCAATTCACGTTTGGGGAAAGAAGCATATTTATTAGGGGAAGGAAAAGGAATTACAGTAAAGGAAATTGATATTGGTGATATTCTAAGCCTTGTATTGATTCTTGAATGAGTTGACAGGATGCTGAACTTGGTGGCAAGGGCTTATTTGCCCAAATAGTCTTTTGCTCCCTTTTGAAGCACAGAAAGTTACATTTTGATAGCGTTTCTCTTTCCTGTGTCAAGAAAATAACAAATGGTCACTAAAAAATTCGAGTCATGGAGGTTTGAGGGGGGAAAGCCTTTGAGTTTGGGAGGATTTTAATGCATTGTTTCTTAGTGAATTCAGACTAAGAATTGAAATAAAATTGAAGTTGGGATGCATTTGACTTGGGCAGGTTTGAGTTATACAAATTTGCATGTATTTCTGATGCAGAATGAATTTGCTTGAGACTCTTGTATGTAGGAGCGACATCTCACTATGCACCACGTTTTGGCACGCATAACAACGAAATCAGTTTTGGAAAAAAAAACATGGAAACAGTCTCCCACGAATAATCGTTGCTATTATATAATGTAGATCAAACATTTCTTACATAAACGATTGTTCTTTCATTCCCTGTTTAATACATATAGTTGATATATTTTCAGGGAATTGCTGGACGAAGTTGCGTCGAGTGATTTGGGAATCACTTGGAAGGAGGTGAAGCGATCGATTAAGGATGATCCGAGGTTCACAAAATTCGCACTTAGTGAGCGAGTGAGTTCATTGCTTCTTGATTCCCTCAGAATTTCGAGGAATAATTGCTTGGGTCGCATTTTCAGAAAGCGGAACGCGAGTTCAAAGACTACGTCCGAGACAGAATCAATAACGCGAAAGCGGAATTCAAGGACCTTCTTCGAGTGAGTGGTGAAAATGAACCTGTCTTCCATGTTGTTGATTTTTGCCAAGATGCCTTCAGCGCAGTGATGCCTTTACATATGGCCCGTGGGCCAAATCCAGAACGCATACAGTACATACACGATTCATCTGTCCCGCTTTCCATTCCCCACAAATGTCAAGGTGTCAGCAGCTACTAGACAAAATAAATCGAAAGAAGAATTCAAAAATCTTGAAAAAAAATGTATGGAGCTTTGTTTGTGATTCTCATGGAAGAATTTCCAACCAGCTTTTGAGCTGGTTGGATATTACAGTAAATATCTGGGATTTTCAGCGAAGAAAACCGCAGAACATGAGCAGATGACAAAAGGTTTGGACTCAGTCCTCATGTGCTTGATGATAAACCCCCGTAACGTTGAGAGGTTTACAAATAAAAAATTCGATGGCTTTTCTGCTTTCTAAGTCAACATCTTTCAAAAGCATTTATTGTTGAAAATCGGCTTGTTTTCTTAGGAACATTTCAATATTCTATATTTTTTCGTTCAATATGAGTATTAGCATTACAACTTTATTTTTCATCGCTTATATGAGAGATGATGAAATGTATCACCTATTGTGGCCCGCAAAGGACTCTCCACCTCTGCAATCTGATCCTTGACCACAAAAAAATAACGTGGCCTTTTGCTACATCTGATTTGGGCAGCACTGTTTTGGCAATCAAAAGTTGATACGATTTAGAGAGTGAGTGATAACAATTAGTGTGTTTTTTATTCTGTGTAGGAAACGAAGATGATCACGCATAAGTGCCGACAAAGCATTAGCGACAACGCGCAGCACTTGAAGGACATCCTGGAGGTGTTGTCGAATGACAAGCGGTACTTGGTGTTGGACAGGATGCCCGAGGAGCGGGACGCCATTCTCAAGGATTACATCGAGGAGCTGGCTGCCAAGGGCCCGCCGCCACCGCCGACCGCCTCTGAGCCGACGCGGCGGAAGTGACCGGCTCTAGGTTTTACCCTCAGACTAGATTCCTCGCCACTCACTCACTCTCCGTTTCTTTAAAACCGGCCTGTTTTCCCTTTTTCCAGTGTCGATCTTTATTTTGTCGCCTTGCGGATTGTTTTGTAAGCTGGGAATTCTGACGAGAAAATCGAGGTTCGTGTCCGCGAGGTGAGGTTTTCTTCTGCTAAGTTGGTCATAAAGATTGTTTCATTTTCAGGGTTTTTTAGAGTGAGAGTGAGAGAGGAAAGAGTGTGTGAAAACGTGATGTTGAATCTTTTCTCACAGCACTGTAAGCGTTCTCAAGTCGTGACACACGTTGCTAAGAATTATTTGTTCGACCTCGTGTTTGTGACTCTGTTTCCCCCGCCCCAAAACCCCTTCGGAAGTCTCGTACAGTATTTGCCAATTTTTTCTGGAAATGATCGATTTTAACCTCGGGCTGATGAGTACAACCACAAAGTGTGTCCAATATGTCATTGTGCAGGGACAGATCTGTAATAATCATGAAGAATGTTTCTGCGTTGTCCATTGTAGTGAAAACTCTTATGTTTTCGTTAAGATGTCGCTCCAATTCGAATTTTCTGTCTACTCTACCGAGGTACATCAGCTTCTCCGTTATTCCCGCTGCATTGTATTAATAAGTTCGCTGGTGAATTTATTTTTCAACAATAATATAATAATGCTGGATTATTCGCTTGAACAAACATCCTGATAATTTTCCTTTGAATTTGTATGCACCCATTTTTCGTCTCTTGGTAAAAAAAAGGAAATGAATATGTTGCTGCGTTGCATCAGACGTATATTTTCTACTTGTAATTCAATTGAATTTTCAACTTTTGATGCTAGAATGTAATGTACGTCGAATATCCAACTTTCATTTTGTATCTATTAGTCCCATTTCGTTAGTTTCTATGAACCGGAATTTCGGGGTATTTTCCCCGCAACTGTGAAACTTCAAGCCGGACTTGGAGAGCGAAGTGATCTTCATACTCGCAAAGGCAAACTTGAAGATGGTCAATGCCTCTATTGACAAATAAAACGAATGAAAACAAGCCTTCAATCGACTTTTAATTTCGCCGCCCCAGTAACAATTGAACACAAAACGCCGCTTTGGCGGAAGAGGAAATGCACAGATTTCCCGATTTGAAATAGATCACACGAAAGCTCGCGATAAAATACCATCAGTAACTGCGTCCAAAAACAAAAATGGCCAGGTGGAAACGAAAACGTCGAAACCGAACCGAAAATGCTTTGGTCTAGCACCAGGGAAAAATATTACAATACCACAAGAGATTGCATGCGAGATTATTGCCACATAAGCTGCACCACGTCACGCTTAAAATAGCTCCCCCCCACATAATATTTAGTCAGCAGAAAAACACCAGCCTTTGTTTTCGTTCCTTTATACAGCTGCTGTTCGTGAGATGTGTCATTCGTCTGGCGACAAGCCGCAAGGGCGCCTGAACTCTTGCCCGGCTTCGTGAAACCACTTGTTCGAAACTGGAAAACACGGAAAGAAGATGAAATAATTTCAGGCGTGTTGACAAGAAGTCACGAAATCAAACCGTGCGACAGGCTAATGCACGAAGCGTTGACGGACGTTCAACTTTTTCTAGCATTAAATGAGGGCGTCCTTGTAATGCATCTTCAGGACACGAGAACAAAACTTACAAATGTGAGAAGCTGGTATGTAAAAATATTCAGGACACAGAAATGAATGGGAAACTGGCCATAGCCAGAAAGATTTCACATTTGATTCTGCTGTGATGAAAGTAATGAAATATACAGCATTTAAAATTTGGAAGAATAGCAAATGATCGAAACCTCATCAACATTTCATCTATTTTCAAATAAAATTTAAACCACTTCAAAAATTTGAACTATGCGTTGCAGAGGAACAACTTCATTGAAGCACAGGTGGTTCTTTTCAAGGAGAAAGGCTTCGTGCATGATTGTTACAGGTTTCAAATACAGCGGGGCCCTGAGACCCCAACAAACGGCCGATTTGACTTGGGGATGCTTGACAACTAAAAAAATCTGCCCCAACATCAAAACAACGTATAGACACAGAAGCACTTCGCCAACATGTCCAGACAAGTTCGAAATTTTATAGTTTTCAAAATTCAGATCCATTATATATGCTTTGCATACTCAAAAAAAAAAATATATATATATACTGTATACATAAATGAAATAATGCTTTGTCCAGAACAGGCTAATTTCGGGATTCTTTCTCCAAAGTTCCCTCCATCATCCAGATCTAGAGACAGGACTCCATAGGAAAACTTGTGCTTGCTTTTTGATTTGTGGGCTCTATGAAGTTCAGATTATTTCCTGTTTTTTTCGCGCTGATATTTACAGTGTCTAGAAGTTAAGAAAAATAATTTTATTTCTGGGAGACTTTTTCCCTAACTTCAGAAAAAATCAGGATAAAATTAGATTTATTCCAATCGAAGTCTAAGCAGGAAAATGTGATCTGACATGGGGACACGGGGGCACAAGTTCATGCCTAGCATAAAAAATTATCGCTGAAAAGATTCCAACAGCAGCCAAATTCAACCTATCGAAGAAAGACCAAAAGTTTCAGCGTACAAAATCGAAAATAAGTGGAACTTTTCAGATCACAAATCGTTGAAAATGCGGAACCCTTTCATGTGGAAACTCTACTCAGGCAAGTAACAACGCGGCCTGCTTTCATGCACCAAATACAAATGCGATTATTCAAGCCCATGACTTTTACGCACTCATACTCAAAATGGAGTCAACCATCCGTAAAACGAGTCCTCCACAAAAATACCTCGCGGCGAAGACATTTACCATCAGTCGGTTGGAAAGAAAATAACTAAATTCACGACCGAAGCGGACTCATGAAATAAACCTCAGAACTAGGATATTGCTCTGGTTACCTACAGACCGAGGGTTCATTCATAAGTTTCGTCAATCTTTTGTAAGTCTCTTGTCTATAGAATGGATGGCCAAATTTTTGCAGAGCAATTTTCCTATAAAAATCTTCCGTTTTTAGATCTCGAAAGCCGTCATCCCATGGGTTCATGGTGAGATACAGATGCACGAAAATCGCAAGTTTCTCAATCGGAATCTGTCAAATTCTGAGACTTACAAACTACGAGATTTTCGAGATAGCTTTTGCAACTTACCGTGAACCAGTGAAATGACAAACCTTTCCAACCCACCCTAGCATTTCGCGACAACGCTCGAGTCACGTCCAAACATGAAGAAAAAAATTAATAAAATTACAGGAAAAAAACCCTAATACCGTAAAAGCAAGATTTGAAAATTTCCAAGATTTACAAAAATCCCGGTTTCTCTACTTCTGCGCCTCACCGTCAACCAGTGAAAGGAAAACTTTCGAAATCCACTGCCTTGCGATTCCAAGTGCTTTTGCATCGGAATGCGACAGAAAAACAAATCAGCTACAGTATTTTGTTTAGATAACTTTTACACCTTACGGAAAGCCAGTGTGCAATGACAAAACTTTCCAATCATCCCTCGTCGCATTTCCCGGCGACGCTCGAGTCTGGTCCAAAAAATAACAAGAAATATAAACTTATACCAAGACAGACCCTAATAAAGAAAGAAAAAAGACGAAGCAATTCCGTCCGTCAAACGCAACCGCGAGAAAGAAACAAGAATACTGTACTGTACAGTAGAAGGGGGGGGGGGATGGAAACATTACCCCATTTGGAGCCGGCAAGCACTGGGCAAGCAGCATGACGAGTCAAGTAATCGCCTTCCCCGTTCCGGTAGAGGTTAAACCAGAACGCCGCCGAGCCCCGACGCGGAAACAGGGCGAGTCGCAGGGCCGGAAACACCGTGGCTCCACCAGCTTCCACGTCGCTCATCTGCAACCAACATTTCAAAAGCTTAGAACAAAACTCCACGTCATCGAGACCATAAAAAAATGTTCAACAATATGCAGTATTTAAAATAATGCCGCGAGCGTCTCGTCGTCGTCGTCGTCGTCGTCAAAACAAGCTCTGCTCAATCACTCTCTCACTAGATAGACAAATAACACTACACATACGCACGCATCCACCCACACAAAAGCACACACATACGAGGGTTCTTACAAAAGTTCTCGGAATAGATATGAAAATGGCGTATCATTGAGCTATTCGTTAGGGAAAACATAATCTTTGGCACCAAAAAAAAATCACCCCTGTTTGACAAATTTTTTTTTAACGTTTTGCATAATTCACCCCGGCAGAGTTTCGCTCTCAACTCCAAAGATGAGGCGCCCTTCCCGCAGTTATATTTTATGTTTATACAGTACATAGCCCAGCTTTCCCGTCAGAATTTTTGAAATCAACGTGGAATTAATTCCAAGGGTTGCCTCCAGGTCTTCCAAGGTAATTCCTCCATTTTCATCAACAGCAGCCAATGAGGCGGCAATTAATACCAGGTTGATTTTTTTTTCTTGCCAAAGAATATGTTTTCTCTAAAGAGTAATTTTTTCAGCTCGATTATACGCCATTTGCATTTCTATTCCGATAACTTTTGTTAGAACCCTCGTACACACAGGGGCTCAAGAACCGCGGGGAACCAGATCAGACCAGACCGAACATTCTCAGGGTTTATTCTCCACAATTTCAAAATCTCGTTACAACAAAGCCGTAGGGACCAGCAAAATAGCTTCGTTGTAACGAAACATTCGCTATGAAAGAATTGTTTCAATATCATTGCTATTGGGCAGGGACCTAAAAAACGATTTTGTTTTAATCGAATATTCGTTGTAACGAAATTATAAAAATCTCTTTAAAACGAAGCCATTGCAACCAGTTAAATAGCTTCGTTGTGACGAAACATTCGTTATAAAATAATTGTTTCAATATAATTGCTATTGGGCAGGGACCTAAAGAAAGGATTTTCTATTAATCGGATATTCGTTGTACCGAGATCATAAAAATCTCGTTAGAACGAAGCCATTGGAACCAGTTAAATAGCTTCATTGTAACGAAACATTCGTTATGAAAGAATTGTTTCAATATCATGGCTATTGGGCAGGGACATAAAAAACGACTTGGTTTCAATCGAATATATGTTGTACAATATGTTGTAACGAGATTATGAAAATCTCGTTACAACGAAGCTATTGGAACCAGTTTAATAGCTTCGTTGTAAAGCAAAATTCGCAATAAGCGAAATCAAATAACATTCCAGCTAATCTACAGGGACCTAAAAAAAAGAATTCGTTATTGAAATCGATTTTTCGTCGTTGCCGAGATTCGTTGAAACGAGATCCTACAGCACCACAACTGTCCCAGTTCTGCGCCACATGAAATAAATTCCAGTAGATTCTCGTTACAAAAAAATCTCGTCATAATGAATTGCATCGAATTCATTTTTTTTGTTCCTATCCGATAGCCAAAATGTTACTTCAATTTCGATTTCAACACATTTTTGTATAAAATAAAGTAATGTATTTTCAACGTCTCAGACGCTTAGTTGTAAAAATATTCTACTGTAAAATAAATTTCTAACATTGCTAAGCATGCGAAACGGTACCATAATATTTAGAATTATGTTTCTGGCATCTGAATTTTTTTTCAAATTACCACGAATTTTTTTTTTACATTGCATCGGACCTTTTCCCCGTAGGACCAAAGTTTTCCACTAATTTCGTGTGCTAAAAATTTTCCGACGGTTGAAAATCAAAAATTATTTCTTCCAGTTTTTGAATATAATTTCTGTGAATTCCTGGGATTTTTAAAATGTTGAATTAATTGGTTCTGTGTTTTCAAACAATAAATAAGTGCAGAAATATGAAATCTTGCGCAGGACTCGGACAAATCTTACATAAGCCAACTGTAGGTAGACTCGAAATAGAGCGCACTCAGTCTACCATACCCAGGGACACACAACCATGAACTTTCTGAAGGACCTCGCGCACAGCTGAGAAATTTGTGCAACGAGCGACGAGCATCAACACGGAGTAAAATTGCTCCGCGTTACAAGCACAAGTGATAAATTGGGCTCGTCTGTGTTTTGTTCTAGAATCTTCATCCGAACGCGACACGCAGCCAATGAACCCCCGCATCTCACGGAATATTCTCGCCTCAATGCGGCTAGAATGTTTTCTTCCAAACAAAAGCAACTGCGTAAATTAAACATTTCTCGAGTACAATTCTGCAGAGAGCAAAAAAAAAAAAGGGAATCGGAACATGTGGAGAACAGAGTGCAAATCACTCACATAATTGAGCCACGTGGCGATTCTGTTCCCGGTTCCCAGGCTCTTGAAAGCATTCGCTTCGTCTTTCCTGGCGAAATCGTAATGCGGTTCATAATGACCAGCGAGCCCGTAATTCCCGACCTGAAGCTCTTCGGCAGTTTCAGTGTTCAAATTGGTGATCTACAAAATATCACGTAAACCAAAAACGAAAATTCAGAAATATAATTTTTCTCTCATTTTATAAAACTAAAGGAAACGCTTACAAAATTATTATATGATTCACCATTCGATACTATTGATCAAGTATTAGAACAAAAAAATTCGAAAAATGTATCATAACCTCGAATTTTTCGTACAAATGAACTTCAAAAAAAATATTAAACTTGATAAACCGAAAATAAAACAGTACCTCAAACAGATTTGGTATACGGGGTTTTAATTACTGTATTCGAACACTTTGCACATGTCAATTTTGTTTCGCCTCGGTCAAAAATCAATCAATATTATTTTGACAGGGATATCGAATGTGTTCTAAATTTAATTTATTGATCAACAGAAAAATTCGTAAGCGTTGTTTTTTAAATGCCCGAATGCAAGATTGAATAACGCATAATTGCCACACAAAAAATGTCAAAAAGTTTCGGTGCCAAAATATTAAAATAATTTCGTAATTTTTTTTTGGGCGAACTCTTCATTTTATATGGTAAATACAGTTTTTTAAAATCAATCCGAAGGCTTACCTGTCCAATCCGATTCACAAACCGACGGAGAAGCGGATGTTCCTCAGTTTTCAACCAAGCAGATTTGCTGATCCTGTATTCGGCAGGTTTCAAGTCTCCGGTCACATAGTCTTGGACCGTCGCTCTCCTCAACTAAAAATTTGATACTTTATATAAAATACAGTACCTACACTCAACTACAGTGAGACCCCCACATGCAGACAATTTGACATAGGGACACTTATTTTCTCATAAAAAAGGAATAAAAAAAAGGCCCAACATGAGGACGGTGACTTGACATAGGGACATTTTGTGATAAAATTGCAAATACCTTTCAGGCCAAATTACAAGAAACAAATATTTCCAAACCTAAAATTGATGTAAGAAAAGTTCTTGGGCACTTCTCTCACCAATTTACCATCCATTTAGCTAATTTTAAAAAGTTACCTCCAGCATGGAGGGAATTCCTTATCTCTTTTTCACTTGAATGTTATTTTTACAGACAATGCCAACATTTCTATGTACTCTACAGAGGTATCAGTATTCAATTCCCCAAATGTCCATATTGCGTTGAAATATATTGATTGATTCAGTTTAAATTGGGAGACAACTTTTATTTTCATGGAATTATTGTGAGTATTTTGTACATTCCACACCAATTAAAAATAATATAATGTAAGTCTAAGGGAAAATGAGAGTCAACTTAGGGATCTTTTGATGCACCAATTACATCTACATCTCGGGGTCTCACTGTAGTTGAACGTAAAAAATGAACATAAATTCATTTAAAATTTCCTTTTTTATATTTTAAAATCCCACAAGAAATATGAATGCAGGCAGATAACGAGTTTTTCAGCTCACCCTGGACACAGCCAAGTCCTTGATCACAGAGATCTCAGAGTCGAACATGATTTCATGGAAGACAACGATCCTAGGCTTCAAATAGGCCTCTTCCATTTTCACAGGCCCGATCCGAAGGAACGGGTTTTGGTTGTGGAAGTAACGACAGTAGAGTTTCGCTGCAACTTTCGGACTGAGTCCGACTGCTTTTCTGCACAGCTTTTCATACATTTTTCGTTCATTTTCAGGAAACGCGTTCGGATCCGTCGACGGCTCCGCATCATCGTCGACGTCTTCAGCAACGTCTTCTTTCGACTCTTCTTGTAATGGCACGACAAACTGTTTATGGAGATTTCCAAAATTTCAAGTGTACTTTCTATGTGCTCCAAGACGGAAGTTTTTCTGTCCAATGCATCGATTATTGACTCCTCAGCGCGAAGTAACTGACAGTTTTTTTTTCTCTCTGCAAAATCTCTCTTTCAATCATCAAATGATTTCTTCAAAGGAGGTACACAATTGATGGGACAGTTGATCGAAATTAGTTGGAATCCTTGTTGAAGCAGTTGCCACCACAGTGAATCCCTGTGAACACATGCTAACCTGCAGTTGCGTTTTACCTCGGGGTTAGTCAAACGGATATTGGCTCAATCCATTCTGGCAGGCATTAGCTTAAATTAGGTAAGTATTTGATAAGGAAAAATAAGTTAATGTATTCTGAGTAAAGCAAAACTCTTTACAACGAGTTTCTCTGTACTTTACTCAATTTGTCACATACCAATTGCTGGAGAAATCATTGGCTAGGTATTGGGTTATAATTTTTTTTTTTAATATTATCAACTCTACAACATTATTTTGAAATAACTCACTGTCAAGTCCCATTAAAACGCCCCCCAACAAGCCACCACACTCAACTACAGCCCCAATCCATTTTGAAAAAAAAAGCTTTCCTAATGATGATAGTATTGAATACCACGTTAAAATACAATCCATTATCTGCAAAAATTATTAACAACTCAAAAAGCTTCTGCAAATTAAATTTTTCTTTGACAGACCACCAATAATATTTGATTTCTGTGAGAGATTGGCAATTTAAAAAAAACACAAACACAAAGATGGCATAATTTACTTCTTGTGAACATCAGCTAGATATAATTTAGGTATCCTAGCGTTGATTCAATTGTTGTCTGGCAAAATAAGAATTGTAAAGTGAGACCCACACATGCAGACACCTTGTCAGGCAGACAATTTGATAGACACTTATTTTCCTATTTTAAAAAATGCATTGAAAAGGACTGACATGCAGACACTGACTTGACATGTGGATATTTTGTGCTAAAATTGCA